AACAGTAATTTATGTGTATTCATTTCCAAGAACCCCAAACTAATGGAATTTATGTGCCACTGATGTAACTTAGCCCTCTTTGAATGTGAAATTTATTCAAGTCGGTATGAAATGAAATATTTTGTAAAGAAAGTTTTTTAGCCTTCCAACGGCGACTTGCGATATCACAAACATGGTATTATCATAATTAATTTGGAAAGGGGGAAACAGGTCGTGCAAGTAGGTTGAATGACATTTTGAAATAAAACTATATTTAGTATAAGTATATAAGGCTTATGAGCGGACTTTGGTTTTGATATCTTAATTTATTTGTGTGCAAGAAATAAAAAAAAATGTAGTAAATTTTGTTTTTGGGTTGACTTAGATAAAAAATATTTTTCATTCAGTTACATTTTTGTTTCGTTTAACAGAAAAAAATACCTTTTTAACCGACTTCAAAAAGGAAGAGGTTCTCAAATCGGCTGTATGTTCTTTTTTTATTTTTGTTCCTCGATAACACCGCCTCTAGTTGTCCGATTTTCATAATTCTTTTTTTGTAGATTAATTTTAAGAATTTCATCATCTCTACTGTTATGTCGATATAAAAAAAAGTGTTTTTTTTTTACTCAAAGGTAATGTTAGTATATTTAACTTTTGATCACGAAAACTTTTTTCATTCACAGTCCTTGGCACTTAATATTGCTCTAAATTCCGCTCGTGTACATACGCAATAACATTTCGAAGGTTAGCCTTAGAAAAATTAGTGTTTACTAAAGTTGACCTCTACTAAATCTGACGTAAAACTTCCAAATTTTTTCTTTGTAGAACCAGTTATAATTCTAAATATATATTTAGCTTTATCATCCAGAAATTATTCTACAGTCTTCCAAACTGTGTTCTACATCTATGCCAAATTTTATCGACCTGTAGAACCGTTCTGCAGATGCCTTCTAACAAATATCCATCCATCCTTCCATCTATGCATACAACACGTAAGATAAAATAAAGACTTTTGTAAACTTACTAATATTATAAATGCGAACGTATGTATGGATGTTAGTTTGAAGGTATGTTCAGAACGGCTTAACGGATTTTAGAAATTTGGCACACACGTAGAACATAGTCTGGAAGAACACATAGGCTACTTATTAAGTATTTATGAATTCCATTTATCACATAAACCAAAGTAATCGCTGCTCTACTTATTTCACTAAATCTTATTTCTTCAAAATAGATTTTATATTGTGATTTTTTAACGTACGAAGTATTTAAGGTATAATATAAGCATGCCTATCGTGTCGTTTCAATAAAACAAATCATACATGATAAAGTTTTCCATCGATCTGGTGGGGCCGCAGTAAGAGCAGTAAAAAGGCGAGATGTCTCGTGGCGGGCTGCACGCGATCCGTTGCCAAGATATCGAATAACAGCGCTATGGGGAGACGTGACTGAACCCCACGACCATTCTATGCAGGTTTTTCAAACTCATAAGTAATCAAGTTTACTTATTGTTTTGATTTTATTGGCTGTCAAAGGATGTAATATATAAAAAGCGTCGATGGCGCAGTTTTAAGGCGCTTAACCGGTCCGGACCGGAATCTACATGTCTGAGTTCGATCCCCGCCATGTACCAATGTTTTTTGAATGTCGTATACATTCCTTATTACGTTTTCATTCGACGTTCTTACGGCGAATGAAAACATCAAGACACAACCTGCACACATGTTAAACAATCTCCGAGTCACCGTAACTTGGTTAGGCTACATATAGGTACATATATAAACTGACGACGAATGAAGGGATGTCTCGAAAACTACTACCAGAAGCGAGTTATCTATATAGACAAGTTAAGTCTAGATTAATCTATTGACTTGTGGAGGTAGCGGTGATCTTTTTTCAAGTAAACCGCTATTTGTTTGTCCCACAACCGTGAAAATATTTTTTATTTTATAGGATCATGGCATTACGGAATATTCACATATGGACATCAGTCTTATTCCTAGAAATTTAACATTAACTAGCTAGTCGCTCGCGACTCCGTCCTCGGAGAATTAAATAAAACTTAATAAGAAGTCTATGTATTCTTCCAGTCTATGTTCTGCGTCTTTGCCAAATTTCATCAAAATCCGTCGATCCGTTCCGGAGATATCTTCAAACAAACATCCATCCATATAAACATTCGCATTTATAATATTATTATAGTAAGATTGCAGAACACCAGGACAGGCCTAAACTTTGTTGTATTGTATAGCAGTTGTAATTTTATTTGATTAATTTCATCACAAAAATATCCACTTAGGCTTATCAGAGCTTTTGTTATTATCTAAATGATAGGCATCCGTGGATTATTGCATATACCGTTAATTTCATATATTTTTTGTAATAAAATACATTTACTTCGACTTAATTTTTGCTTGGATACCAAATTTAGAATAAATTTAATTAAATAAAAGTCATTAAACATCGCAGTCATCTTATAGAAAAGCGAGAAAGATGCGAAAATATCCTAACTAAACAGAAGATTACCGTCAAAAGATGGTCGTTTTTAAAAGGAGATAATGAAATGGACATCGACCAATTCTTAATATTGAACTATCAACAATAAATAAACAAAAAGTTAAAAGCAAAGATTATCGGTTAGGTATAAATCTGGGACCTCATAGCTATTTCATGTCGTGGCCTTCTCGGAATCGTAAAAACAAAATTAATGAAAATGCTTTTCTTAATTCATGGCCATAAAAAATCAAATTATAACAACACGTAACGTTCAGTAACGAACTTATCGGGATTTATGTAAATGTTAACTTTAATCGCAGAAATTGATGCTAAGGTTAAATATTCAGATTAAGAGTCCTTATAGGACTACATGGGCATTTCCACGAATCCTATTCGTTCACTATTATTCTTTGAAAAGTATAACCGTCCGTAAATTTTATGTCAACCTCTTTCGAATTGGAAAAATAAAAAGAAAACAATAACAGTACGATCAAAATACACATTTGTCAAAAGATCAAATAGAAAATTACTTGTCTTTCTGATCAGAAGTCTTCTTAATTCTCTGTCTGTCTTCGGTCATATTTTTATCCCTTGTAGTACACGCTGTTTGCAATATTTATAGAACAATAAAAGCGAAACGGACTTAATGTGCGATTCATTCGCGTATTCTAACTTAATATCAAAATTACCGGATCAAGTATGCCAGCCATAGGCACAGTTATAGTGTCCTCGCCACCAGCAGCCACCAGCTTCTCCAGCACCTTAAGGGTCTGTTCCACCGCGGACCATTCCCCCTTTTGCGCCAGTCCCAATATCTTAGTCGCCGCATCCCGCATGTTAACACCTGCGCTAGGCGGCTTCGGCACATCTCCATTGGTCTCCTTAACTTCCTTCTTATCGCCATTGTTGGAAGATGTCTCTTCTTTTTCTTCTGTATTCTTGGTTGCTGTAGTTTTATCATCATCTGTGGTCTTCTTCGGTGGTCCTTTGCCACCTTTCTTGCCGCCTGGCGCTTGCGACATTTTCACTTCATAACCATAAACCTGGAAACACTATTCGGGAGCACTACACTTAAGTTCGCGATCGGTCATGATGTTTATTTAATCGGGATATGTTGACCGGTGGACGGGCGGAGCATGACTGCGGCAGTTGCGTAGCGGAGTCGACTTCTTGCATGATTCGAGTGAATAAAGTCGACGGCGACGTAACTTGGATTTACAAACAAAACTCACAAAGCCAACGTCTAGGAATGTCTTATGCATTGACCCATTTGTAATATAGAGATGTAGGAACCCTTGGCAATAATTATGAATCAAATTCAATTAAAGTTTAGTAAATTTTTATAAATAAAGTACATAGCTAAATATTGTTAAGAAAATAAATGTTATTTTTATAACATAATCCGAGTGACTTTAAATTTCTCTGTCGGAAAATCCTGATATGTTTCGCCATTCTCGAATTAACATATTTCTTTTTTTTTACTTTTCATTGCTTAATAGAAAGTACGCAGTTCTAATCTTAGATCATGGCTAAATCAGAGCTTGGGCAAAATATTCGATGAACATTTATGTTGACCAAGTAAGAAAGAAGCAACTGGGCATCTGACAGCTTAAATTCTACTGACTAGATGACCACTACACAGGTATTTTTTTTAATTCAACCCTAAATTTCTAAAGTACGAGATGATATTTTGTATCGAGAAAAATATTTCACTCAGCAGAATTACTTGAATATTGCAAATTGTTCAATACGCAATTAAGTATTCTTTTTATTCGTCTAGCAATTGGACGAAGTTTTTAGTAGATGCTAGTTTTATAAAGATAGAAGCAAGCTTTATAGAGGAAGACATTTGTACACGCATTTTACCTTACGCGATACATATCGCTGTTCCAGGAGGTCGAAGAAAATTTGCATGTTTCGTCACAAGAAAGAATAGGGGGGTCGTCGCGTGCCGCGCGCCACTTCCGGTGGGGGATTGGGTCGGAGGGGGGATATGGGGGCTCGGCCTCGATTCCACCAACATCAGATACCATTAAAGACCGCTTGACCCTCAGGAAAAATCGCGGATCGTTTGTGGTGGTCACTGCAATTAAGCGGTCTTGTAACAATTTATTTTACTATTTTTTAATAATTAAAAAAATATGTATGCAATATCAATAAGACATATTTCTGTATAGATAGCTAAAATTTAGTTATTTAATATTTTGAAGGTAAAAAATTATCATCAAACTTTTAATCTTTAGTCATAAGTAAAATTATATTGATTCATTTCGTAACGGATTACAATAATAAATAATTAAATCGATCTTAGGCCTATCTTCTTTACTTTGTATCGCAGGTAGGAGAAAAATTAGTCTAATTTCTAAATTGATTAAATACGTTAAATAAATTGACTTTAGATAGGTACGAAATGATCCAAAGTTCACATTTGTATTCGGCTGTGGTTTTACGTTACAATGTTATAAGTACATGTGATTAACCTCTAGACTATACGTTCATTATCAGTACCAACACGTTTTACTTACAAACAGACCAGTCCTACTGAGTCGCTCTGATTGTTCGGTTGTGTGCTTGTTTGTTGAAAAATGTTTATAAAACGCGCTGCTATACTTGCAAACAGGATTACCCTGAGCCATACATATCGGTAAGTGACCTCTAAATTATATTAAACTGGCCGTAAATATTTTAATAAAGAAGAAAAAATAATAATATTTGAAATAAGAACACATTTTAATCGATTTACGGACTATTTAATTACAGTTTGAATTCTTTTTAATCAATTGATCTCAGTATATCTGGCTATCTTTATATATATAATTATTCTGTGAGTGTGTATGTCACTGAACTTCTCTCAAATGACTGGACCCCGATTTTGATGAAATTTTTTGTGTGTGTTCAAGGGGATCTGGGAATGGTTTAGATTCACAATTTTGTCCGCTGGACAATGTTTTTTTTTATTAATTTTTAATTTATTAGTAGTTGTTGATTTTGGAATGTTTTACATTGGATCCGACAGACGGCGCTACCATCGCAGTGTCAAATTTTAAATAATATTCGAATTTTAATTTTAGCTTATTAAAAAAAGTTTGGAATTTTCAAATTAAAGACGTGTAGACAGGACAACATCAGTCGGGTCCGCTAGTTTACTATAAAATTAAAAATAATTTAAACATGTATACATTACAGACAATTCAAAACATTAAAATTCAACTGATGTCCTTGATACATGGAACTTTTGAATTAATTAATATATTTATATCACAATTATTTCTACTCAACTAATAGTAATTCTAATGTCCTAGTTAAATTAGTAATAATACTAGTTAATACGTAGATAAATAAATGTATCGTTATTTATTTTTTCCCTACGTTTTTTTGTTATAAGAATGTGTCAATTGAAATCGACTAAATACTAAATAATAACATAAACCAGTACCCTTAATAGTTATATAAAGTAAATCAATGAAGAATAATAATATCAAGCACCAAAAGACCGGTTTCCGGTGTTTTGTATTCGAGACACAAATGACCCTTCAAAGTACCATTATCTCAAGTCAAACATTTCAAAACTATAACTAATTACTAGGTACTTATTTCAAATGATCTTTGCAGTGAATGCTACTAACAATTTTTAATAAATCATAAATAAATCTAGTCTATTCAAAATTTCGTCAGACATTATGATAAACTTATATAAAATCGGCTATACACTAACGTATAGGTATATACGACCGGTGGCGGCACCGACTGGTTTCGAGCCCAACGGGGGCCCTTCATCAGGGTGAGTGAGACTGGTGAAAGAGTTATTTCGCGGCCGCGGCCCGTCTCTCACTTTAAACAGGAAAGTGGTCGGTGCCGCCACCGGACGAATATACCTATACGAGAGTGTTTAGCCGTTTTTATATCAGTTTAAATCTGGTCTAATCAATACAATACATAAGAATAACTTACACCCAATTTCATTTTATTTTTATCAACTTTAAGAATGCAGCCAAATCTCTATTAAGTTCAATAAAACTCAAATATAGAGAGAACTATAAATAGATTTATTTTGATTCTATAATTGAAACATCGAAAACATTTGCAAATGTTTTAGTAATTATAACTTAATACTATTATCACAACTGATAGTGAAATAACAAAATTAAACTACATTATTTTTTGTGTGTCTTCGTCGCTTATCAAAGTCGATAACGTATAATAATGGACTCATTTAAAATAAATTTAAATGAATTCGGCAAAGAGAAAAATCACAGCATATTAAAAAAATATATTAAAGAAAATTGGTAGTTCTCTAAAATGTTTCGTTTGCAGAAGGTAATTACCACTAAAGAGTTTGGGTATGATTCATTTAGTTTGACATATATAGACGCGTTGACTTCAATAAGGAGACATTAAATTACTTTCATAAAAAAACAGATAATACTATCACTAAGCAAATAAAAGATAAAGAAATTATAATCTGTAATGACAATAAACAATTGGCAATTTACAACACAAAAATTATTGTTAGAATATTCCAAATGCGTTGAAATATGATTGAAACTGCAAAATCACCGTCATTTCCAAAACTGAATAAAAAGATATCGTTGTCTCTGTTGTGTTAAAGAGAATGAAAGGGATGACGATAAGTTATTATTATACAGTTGTTACGGCAGTGTACATTCAAAGAGTTAAAGTCACTGCCCCCTTTAGATTGAATAACGTACAGCAAACGGTCGACATAATTGCATTTTGACTCTGTTCACGCGAATAAAAAAAAACTTATTTAGTAGCCTATGTGTTATTCCAGACTATGTTCTACATCTATGCCAAATTTCAACGAAATGAAGCCGTTCCAGAGATACCTTCTAACAAAGATCCATCGATACATCCAAACATTCGCATTTGAATATATATAAGATAAAGTAAACTTGCAACAATTCATTCATTTATTTTCTTGTCAACAGCCAAACTCGTCTCCTACAGTCAGACCCGAATGCGAGCTACCTCCACAATCCAGGATCTGAACCTTTGACGATCGCAACGCTTGGTGAAGTACTAGCAGAGAGTGCAAATAAATATCCCAATAGAATCGCCATTCGGTCAATACACGAAGATATAACTTTGACCTACGAAGAATTATTAACCCAGGTATAGAAGATAATTCTTTGTTTACTTATGTGACTAAAGGTTTCGACTGCAGTAAAACATGTATTGGCACATATTGTCATCCCTTGCATTGTCTTGCAAAAAATAGGGACAACAATATGTCTCAAGAAAATGAACCCACAATAAGAGAACAAATACTTTTACGATTATAAAAACATTCATACATCAAAAACAAACAAACATCAATTAACAAAATGATAAACTACAAGCTAAGATAAAGTAATTAATGTTTCGATTAATTGAAGGAAATCGATTGAGAAAGACATAAATACTTAATGGCATTAGATTTTAATTTTCTAAACAAAGTTCAATAGCTATTGCGCTTAGACTGAATTTGCATTTGATGTTATAATCAATAATACTATAGTATAATATTTGTCCCCAGGCTGATTCTTTAGGATGTACACTGAGAGCAAATGGATTCAACAAAGGCGACAGATTGGGAATATGGTCACACAACATGGCGGGCTGGATTCTTACAGTCTTGGCTGCGGCGCGAGTTGGATTAATATCGGTTAGTTTTAATAGAAAGTTTATTAATATTGCATAACGTGTTAGAGAATAGTTGAATAAGTTCCGGCTACTGGTGCTACAAATTTTAAACTATTCAAAGTACAATATCAAACAAAAGTAATGCTAAAATTATGTATATGTCATCATCAGCTCACTATACGTCGCCCCTCGAGTTAAGGGTGATTTGGCCATAGTCAACCACGCTGGCCAAGTGCGGATTGGTTGACTTCACACATATCTTTCAATTTCTTCTCAGATATGTGCAGGTTGCATCACGATGTTTTCTTTCATCGTAAGAACGTTGGATAACTGTACATATGTAAATCGAAAATCGAAAAACACATTGGTACATGGCGGGATTCGAACCCAGGATATGCAGATTGCAAGTCAAGGGCTTGACCCCTGAGCCACCAACCGTCATATGTATTATTATTTACCGTTAATTTAGCTTCATTATTTAATGTATTCTTTCTAGAAGCAAATAAGTATAATTTACGCGTATTTGATAACATTTATCCGATGACAATTTAAAAAGCGTTAAAATTATTAAAGATATGATAATAATGCGTGTCTTGAGATAAAGAAACCTATTTTTAGTAGAATATCTGTTAAATGTCGCGTATTAAACTATTGTTCCAGGTCTTTATAAATCCAGTTTACGAGAAATCAGAGCTAAGTTTCTGTTTAAAGAAAACTGGTATGAAGGGACTCATTATCGGCAATTCTCTCAGCAATAGGGATTATTACAATAGCTTGAAGCATCTGATACCTGAACTAGATGGTTGCAAGCCCGGTTCACTGATATCTGAACAGTTTCCTGACTTGACTACAATCATCAGTCTAGAAAAGGAGAAATTAGAGTAAGTAGATAAGATGATTTGGGACGGTTTATCTAGAATTTGATTCAACGTGTTATTTAACATTGGCTGTACATAGGTTTTACTATGCATTTACGTACGCAGTTGAATTAAATAAAGAAAGTAGTATTTAAATAGACAAAGTAAAATTTCAACTTTGTGATTGTGTTTTAGGTAACTTTAGAAATTTTAATTTGGCAAGCTAATTTAAAAGACTGTTAAATGTTTCAGTGGTGTATTTACATTCGACTCGCTATTGGGTAACAAAACCAACCAAGTATCAAAATACGGGAGCGAAATCAAACCGGAAGATGGCAGCATCATCCACTTCACGTCAGGGACCACGGGTGGGTTTTAGAGGTAAAAGAAGTTAAATCATCATCATCAATCATTAATTATTACTTCATATCGATCGTAAAACACGATCGGAAACACGGCAGACCTCAATTTAACCGTTAGTATTGACAGCCGAAAGACATGTACCAAAAAAAGGTGCTCTGGAAAATCTCCTAAAAAGTTTGATAAAGTCACTTCTACGATAGTAATCCAATAAAATATAATTACAGGAGATCCCAAAGCAGCTTTAGACTCTCATTTAGGAGTCGTTAATAACACTTACTTTATTGGAAGACGAAACGGTTATGACGAAGATAACCAGAAAATTTGTGTACAGGTTCGTATCAAAAGTAAATAAAAATTTAATGGCAAATAATCTCCATGATTAATTCTTTCGCATTTCGACAGAATTTTGTAGACAATTTCTGGCCGAATTTGCTTTATCACTATATTCCTCTCATCATATCCTTATAAAAAAAGGGTTGGAAAAGAATATGAACTCAGTATGACCGTGGAATTGATTCCATTTTACGCTTGTCTTCTGTATAGTTGTGGTAATTTACCGGTCGACACAGCCCGTTCGTGCATCCAACAAATATTGTTGTTACGAGATCTACCACATGCAAATGCACAGCTTTATTACATTGGAAATATCGGGTAATCCGATTGTATTCAGGTACCTCTCTTCCACGCCCTGGGATCAGTGGTGACAATGCTGGGAGCTTTGAGACACGGCGCCACATTGGTACTGGCTGCGCCCATGTACAATATACCTGCAAACATCAATGCTCTGCTTGCTGAAAAGTAATTCTTAATTATTTTAATTTTACTAACGTGTTTTTCCACCGCCGACAATTACCTTAATTTATTTAATATTTAATTATGCATGTGCATAAAAAGTGAATAATAAAAAAAATATTACAATTGTTAAATTCACGTTTCGTTTAATTCATTTATTCACTGTTTTCAAAATAATTATGCAGATAAATATATTCAGTTGGATTTAACGGAATTGAAAACTTATAGTTAGAAATAATGACTGACAAAGTATTTATTACCTATGGATTTATTTTGTAAAGTATAAGTAATATTTTAATTTATGATATAAGGACGTCTATATCAATAAGGTTAATGGCTACAGCCTTGTAAAATTATTTAAATAGATTTATTATAATTTTTGATTTCTCTTGAATTGGACCATAACTATTTTATTGCACTTTTATATATTTATTCGCGAACTAAATTCTGCTCTGTGACAGACAGTGATGTCCTAATTCCTATGCGTAAATCACTTATTCAACTCTCTATTGACCATTACAGATGTACAGCTGTGACGGGCACTCCCACAATGTACGTAGATATGATATCCCAGATCCGAGAGCGCGGCGACCTTCCACTGCGCCTGCGCATGGCCCTCGCAGCCGGTGCGCCCTGCTCGCCGCAACTCATTAGAGACATGAACAAATATCTCAAAGCAGACTCTGTGCTGGTAAGCTCCAAAGACGCTTAAGTAATCCGATGAAGAAAATCCTCTAAACAAATATTGATTATTAACTACTGTGTTAAGTCAAATTATGAAATCTGCGTACTTTTTCGTTGTCATCCCTTGTTTGACAAAGAAACAAGTCAAAAATTGTATCAGATCCCATGGGTAGCGAATTTCTTCGCAGACTGGTCTAAATTTACCATCTCGATAGGTACCTTCATGTAGAAGGACCTGGCTAGAGTGAAACTATTGTTTTGCGACCTCTGCCAATAGCTATAATGAGCAAAAAAAAATTATTAATTGTCGTACCACAGGCCTTGTACGGCATGACTGAGACCACAGCGAGCGTGTTCCAGTCCAAGCCCGGAGATGATATCGATGTAGTCGCAGACACCGTCGGCTACATACAAGATCACGTAGAAGTTAAGGTAACATTTAAAGTGTTAGGCTTGCTTATATTTTATCTTACTAATGTTTGATATTATTAATTAGAATCATTTAAAAGCGAATAGCGGGCTTTCGTTATCAAGTGTCAGATCCATTAGTTAGGGGATATAGGCGTTGTTATTTTAATAAGGCTAGTGTTGCGCCGAAAAACCGGCACAGTGTCGCATTTTCTTCCTAACACTATTCATGTCAGTTATTTTGTCAACGCTACTGTCCAGCAACTCGTTACGTTATAAGGCCATCGGCAAACTTTTTACGAACAAGTAAAAATAATAATACTATCGTCCATAATAATTATAACTTATCATAATCAAAAGGACACTTGGAGCAATGGAATTGAGCCAAAGAATAAAATATAATTTCATAAATATTTTCAAATTTAAAGGTAGTAGACGAAGACGGTCAAACAGTTCCGTTCGGTGGTTCTGGTGAATTGCTCGTGCGAGGTTACAACACAATGATCTGCTACTGGGACGAACCGGAGAAGACGAAGAACACTTTTACCGAGGATGGTTGGTTGAGTACCGGGTGAGACTAATATGATTAATATAGGATCAATAAAGCTTTTACATAACTAACCTTAGTATTAAGCAGTACAAAAAGTAATCAAGCCTGATCTCAACAGAAAGCGAGTATTTTTTTTATTTCCTAAAATATATTTACTTACTATAAATTTCCTACTTCTACAATCGCCACCTCAATTTCACAGAGATAAGTTCACTGTATCTCCAGACGGATACGGGCGCGTGGTTGGCAGGTTGAAGGACATCATAGTTCGCGGCGGAGAGAATATAGCGCCCAAAGAGATAGAAGACCTCCTAAACACGCACCCAGATGTTATTGAGAGCCAGGTAAAAAGATTTTTGTATAGATTTTTACAAATTCTGTTTCGGGTATATTCTTTATATTGTAATAGGGTGGAAAAATAAACTCGGTACCGATTCTTGTTGTTAGCATCATCTGGATTATCTGGTTAGCATTCATCATCATCAACTCACTATACGTCCCCGCCGAGGGGCTCGGAGCCTACCCTAAGTTAGGAATGACTAGGCCATAGTCAACCTCGCTGGCCCAGTGGGGGTTGGTTGACTTCACACATATCTTTGAATTTCTTCTCAGATATGTGCAGGTTGCAACACGATGTTTTCCTTCACCGTAAGAACATCGGATAAATGTACATATGTAAATCAGAAATCGAAAGATACATTGGTACATGGCGGGATTCGAACCCAGGACCTGCAGATTGCAAGTCAAGTGCTTGACCTTTGAGCTACCGACGCTCTGGTTGTTAGCATTGCACAATGTAAATAAACTACGTAGTTACATAAAAAAATTGAAAAATTTTCCTTAGTGAAAAAACATCAATACAAATAACAGGTGATGTTTTTTTTGCTTTTCAGGTTGTTGGAATTTCTGACGAGAGATTGGGTGAAGAATTATGCGCTGTGCTGAGAACACGAGATGGCGTTACCGTCACACTTGATGACGTCAGAAAATTCTGCAGCGGACATATCGCAAAGTTTAAAATACCGAGGGTTTTGAAAATAACGGATGATTTCCCGAAGACCGCATCCGGAAAGATTCAGAAGTATAAGCTGAGAGATTTAATAGAGTCCGGTAAATTATAGGATTATTGTAATTTAATGATTTTTAATACTTGTAATTTTTTATCTTTCAAAACGTATTTTTATAATAAAAATGTGGTGATATTGTTAATCATAAAATTATAAATGAATATTTTTCTTATTTTAATGTATTATTATTGTAATTAAATATATAAATTAAGAGTTTCTTTGTTTAAATGTACTAATCCCACGAAATAAAGTTGGATACATATTCAAAATGAAGTTTATATTCATTTAGTATTATTAAAATGAAAATGTTAGTGATTAAAATTGGCAAATAAAAAAGATATTTCACAATAGTTGTAGTTATTTGTAAGCAGTTTATTTTGGGACATGTTTATAAATACATAAGTACTTTTAATAATACACGTAATAAAAGATCAGAATTGGGTAGATTCGGATATGACGGCTGATAGAGATGTATGGAGGAGTAGTACATACTGTACCCCTCAATAGGGATAGAGCAGGTTGATGATGACGTAATAAAAAAATCAGATGTAAGTATAAAAATATAACAGTAGTCACCAGATTTACGTAAATGGAATTCCCCTGGCTATCCCTTTGTCCTTAAGTTTACTAAACTACTATACTACTACTACTTACTAACTCTATTTCTTACAAAATTGACTTTAACGCTATACTAATAGGGTCTTTATTTGATTAATTAATATTCCACTGAGCAAAAAATTGCTACGCTAGAAAACCTACGAATCGGAACTGGAGCCAGACACTAGACTCTTCTACAAACTAGATGTAATGCTGCGAACAACAAAACTAAGGAAATAACTTTTAAAGTGTTGTGCCAATGATTATTAATATATCAAAGAAAATAAGAATGTTAATCCTTTTTTAATTTTTTACTTAATAAATGCGAAAGTTACTTTGTCTATCTGTCCGTCTTTCACGCTAAACCTAACGAACGGATTTAAATTACATTTAGTACATAGTTAGTAAAGAGAGCCGTAAAGATAATGTAGGACATAAGCTACTTTTTAATGTAAATAAAGGGTTGTAAAGGGTCAAAAGGATTTTATGGGTATATATGAGGTTTATATGAATGTTTTATAAATTTGCGAAACTAGACAAAATATTAAAGCCTTAAAGTAACATTTATGGTGTATACAAAATGATAGCCAAAGACACAATTACACGCGGAGGAAATCGCGGGCATAGCTAGTTAAGATATTCGTGACCGTGATGTATGTAAACATAATGGTAATGATGCATGTTATTGGCTTCAAATTGATCCGCCATTTCTTTGTTTTCAGTCAGTAAATATTTTTGTTCTGCGCACAAAATATTCAATGCCATCTTTGGAACGAATTTATAATATTTCTATAGTACTAAACTATTTCCGCAGCTGTGTCATATTTGGTAGTCACATATTGATTTTGTATTATCAATACTATTATCATATTTTCTTAATTATTTATAAAAATCTTTTTCATTTTCACTTTCATTGCCTTCGAAACCTTGGCATCTGCATCGTCGTCTAGAAAATAGACAATAAAAAAAGTTCTAGTTTAAATGATTAGAGTAAGTTATAACTAGTTAACCCTTATTCTTGGAAGATTTCTTTTTTTAAAGAAAAGCTAAAATAAGTGTAATAAATCTAAGTTAAAAATTACTTTATAGTAATCCTTTGTTATAGAGTTGTATGTATGGTATACTATAGAAAATGATCATAAAAGTTAGTCTTTTTAATTTTTTTTTATGAATGTTTCCTCATCATTAGTATATAAGTAGGTATATAGCTTTTTTATATAACTTTCTGCATTTTTTTTACTGTAATCGCGTTATTGTAGTATGAATTAAATAACATAATAGTACGTGAAAAGATTCAAATTACTTATTTTTTTTAATTATCGGCCAAGGATATTACTGTTTTGTATACATGTAGAGATAAAACACGTTAATAAGTAGTTATTTGACAATTTTTTTTTCAACAAAATATCCAATAAAAATTCGACATTAATTGTCATTTTTATCTACTTTATTTTGTAATTTGCAAACATTTAATACTGGGTTATCTAATTTCAATTACAAATCGATGGAATATTGCTTACTAAAAGCAATTTGCAATTAGATATAAACACAATTATGTTACTTTATAAAAAAAATGTAGTAAAAAAAATGGAACATTACATTTTAAATAATCATTAATGTTGTCGTTTCTTCAGCTTTGTTGAACAGATATTAAAGTATTTGAAGACAATGTACGAAAATACATTGACCAATTCAATATGGATCCTTTTAATTATCGGTAAGTGAATATACAGTATGTATTTTTAGTTATTACCCGACTAAAATAAGTGGGAACGTTTTTCGCACGCATGTTGAGCTGAGTTAGTCTGTATGTTTGCATGTGACACCCTGTAGTCTACAAAAGAGACAAAACCTAGATATACCAATTGCGCTCAGATCGTTTCTGTTTTAAACATATTGCCATCTCTGTTTTATAGACGATAATAACAGAGGTGACGATATGCTTTATACAGAGATTTTGGTCTCGGAAATAATTGATCGATCATCTTTTCACTTTTTATCCGAAAATCATTTTTATTTCCATTGGTTTAGATGACATATCCACGTAATATCTTTTAGCTTTTTAATAAATTATAATATTTAATGCAAAAAACAAATTCTCAGGTTGTACACAATACGTGGATGCCGCCTCTTTACGCTGTTACAATGGGTAAGACATTTGCAATGAATCTTTTTCTTTAGAAATTTTATTCACCGTCGAAACTGGATAAGTCCAAGAGACCGCGATATTTTTCTCGTATATAGAGGTTTCTCTTTAAGTATTATAGAATTTCTCCCTTATAAAGTCATTCTCGCTTAAAATACTTAATAATCTGTGCTTTATTAGCAACGTTTATCTCAATTTTCAAGTTCTTTAGACCTTAAGGGAATGAATCTCTATGTAACATTTTAAGCCTCTAAGTCGTTTCTGCTGTGTTATATAGACTGTCTTGCGCGACTCCGTTCCCGCGGGATAAAATATAAGTAGTAGCCGATTCCCAGACCGAATACGTATATAAAATTTCATAAAAACCGGTCAAGCCGTTTCGGAGTAGCATGATAAGTAACATTGTGTCACGAGGATTCTTGCAATTTTTATTATAATTTCAGATCTTTGGATAACCCTATGATTGTGCCACTGGATTTTCCGCGGCCACTAATTAACAATTCTTGCATTAACACAAGTAGAGTTACAAAATTTTTTATATCCGGTTTTAACCGGAACGTTACATCGGAAGAGTCCATAACTATACTGTCCGCATACATTGCAAGAGGAGACGTTAACGTTGTATACTTGGACTGGGCTGAGGAAGCATCAAAAGAAAGTATTGGAACTGTTCTTGGTTACCTGAAAGCAGCATCGAATACACAAAATGTAAGTGGCAGTTATGAAATATTGTAAAACAAACATGTTTTGTAGACAATTGACTTAACATTTTGATTTTATTACAAAACTAGCCAGCGACTCCGTCCGCACGGGATCAGAAACTTATAAGTAGCCTACGTGCACTTCCAGACTATGTTCTATATTTAAATTTCAGCGAGATCCATGCAGCCGTTCTGGAGATAACTCTAAGAAACATCCATCGACTCATAAATCCAAACATTCGTATTTATAACGTTAGTAAGATACACCCTAAGAAATGTCTTTATATCCTACCTTTATATTTAAGATCGGATCGTAATCGTCAATTAAACTTAATAGGTAGGTGCAACTACACCTACCTATCCTACCTACCTAGCTTTAGTGTACATTTACTATGAAAAATCTACGCTAAGTGATCACCTCTGAGACTCATTAAATACTCCGAGTGGTTCAATGAGTATAGGAAAATAAAGTTTATGTTATACGCAGATTGGAGCTAGATTTGCTGCTGCTTTATTGAATTTACTCGACGGCGGCTTAGAGTTTACCAAAGTTCATTTAGTGGGGCACTCCCTCGGCGCACAGATAGCTGGTATCACGGGAAACACGCTGGTGGCCCAGGGATATATTTTACAAAGGTGGGTTTATAAAACTATTGATGCAATAATTTTGAGTCTATGTACGTCAGCTAGGCTTGTGAATTTTTTAAATTCACTCATTATTTTAGACATTATTAATTTCTTTGGCGCGAATAGCGCGCTTTCATTACCAAGTCAAGCGTCAGAATGATCAGTGAGGGGACATAAACGTCAACATTTCAGTAAGGCCAGTATTGCGCCAGTACACCGGCACAGTGTCGGATTTTCTTCCTAACAATTAGTACACAAATGATTCAAGAGGGTTTTTCACTCGTATGTACATATGTTTTATGTATGTGGATTTGTATGTCAATCTCATTGAGACATTTTGTATCGTAAATGACTGAACCAATTTTGATAAGTGAGGTGTAATTATTTTTTCTTCGATTGTCATAGGGGTACAGTCGGGTAGATTTTTTTTAACGCATCAATAATTTTATTCTATTTTAGAGCGTCATGCTTGGATCCAGCCGGACCACTGTATTCGGGTTTAATAAGTTTTAAAAACGGCGTGAGCCCCGAGTGCGCGAAACAAGTGGACGTCATTCACACGGACCCAGGCGGCTACGGTATCGCGGATCGCGCGGGAACTGCGGACTTCTGGCCTAATTACGAAGGAGGGAAGACTGTCCAGCCCGGATGTCTCAGGGGGAACTTTCCTTTGCTAAGTGAAGAAGGTAACAACAACGCCTCGTTTAAAAAAAAAACAAAAACCTTTTTTACCAACAACATCTCACGCCCGTGACTACGTGACGTGTAGGTTAAGACTACGGACATTCATTCAGCGTGGTGCTGGCAAAATGAAACTATTTAACTTTATGTTTTTTTTACTATTTTATAAAGGTCTTTCCTCGCGAAGAATATAAATCCTTTATTCAGTTATCTACGATCTTTGTGATTTATTATTAAGTGATCGCCCGCGATTTAAAGGCCGGCAACGCATCTACAGTTCCTCTGGTGTTGCAGATGTCCATGGGTGTCGATGATCACCTTGGTGTTCCCGCCGCTCGTTTGCCCCCTTCTCTTATAAAAAAAACTTTAGAAGTTTACAATTTAAAAAGTAATCATGATTAGTGAGGGGACATAAGCGTCGACATTTTAGTGAGGCTAGTGTTGCGCCAGTACACCGGCACAATGTCGGATTTTCTTCCTAATAGTATAGATTTAGATGATATATCGCCTCATTTGTTCTAGGGTTATGTAGCCATATTGCGTCGTGGAGATACTTCGCGGAGACAATAAACGATTGCAATTGCTTCCCCGCGGCAAGCGCACCGGACTACGCTACCTGGTCTAGTACCAATGGAACTACAAATTCTACCATCTATATGGGAGAATATCTCTCACCCGAGTAAGATCTTCGACTATTTATATGTTTCACCATAACAACACAATTAACAATAACAAATACGAAAATTCACGAAATAATTACAAATAATTTACGTTTTTTTTTTTAATTCGTACTCCCTTTGATTCAACATTAGTATGACTAGCTGTCGCTTGCGACTCTGTGCGCGCGGAATTAAAAAAACATCATTAGTAGCCTATATGTTCTTCTAGACTATGTTATATATGTATGCCAAATTTCATCGAGATCCGATCAGCTGTTCTGGAAATACCTTCAAACAAACATCCATCCAATAATTGCAAATAATCTTCGGATCATTTTCAACTTTTTTTGTTAATTTATGTTAATAAGATAATGTTTATTTATAAAAATAACAGGTGATTGTTTTAATTATTATTTAATCTGTGTTTCAGGGCCAGAGGTAACTATTATTTAGTGACCAACGATCGTTCACTGTACGGCATAGGAGAAGAAGGCACCGATCCTAATAACAGAATCGACAACTAATAATATATTTGTCTATGCTTGATACAATTAATAGAATATATAGAATACGTAACTTACTAATACGAAACGAAATCTATGTGCATTTAATAATCTTATTTAACACAAATATATTATTGTTAAAATGTTATTTTATTGAAAAAAAATATTATGTTTTTGTTTGAAAAAGTTTTCGTTTAATATATTACAATTAACTGCATTTGTTTATTTATTAATTCTTTACACCATTACAAAGCGCCTACTATTATATGCGAGCAAACACGTAATAGAAACATTTAGTTTAAAAGTAAAGGAATATTGACGCTTCAATTCGTCTTCTGATTAGATTATTTATCTGTATTCGTAACAATAATTCCGTAATTTTACAATTATTTTACAAAAAGATCTGAGGGGCTAAATGTACATTCGCTTCTTAGCGATTCAATACACAAGTTTAAAAATGTACAGAGCTGAAAATAACTTTCGGTAAGTCACGTGATTGTCACGTGTCAGTTACGTATATTTTTGAATTTGGTTATGTAATCGCTACGGAATGCTTTTGGCTTTGTCTATGACTGGGGCTGATAGAATTCGTTATTTATCAAGTAATTCAATCTCGTATATGTGTCCAAAATTTTATTACAATTACGTCATAAGCGACACAATTCAATGAGGATTATGATAAAACATTACATCAATATGCAAAAGGCATTGTTATACTGAAATGGAAAACAAGCGCGGCAAAGAACTCATCGATTGAAAACTTTTGGTGTGTTTGTAGAATTGTTAAATAGCTGTTCATATAAATCATGTTGTCATGTCAACCACGCTGGCCGAGTGCGAGTTGGTTCACATATATCTTTGAATTTCATCTCATATATGTGCAGGTTGCATCACGATGTTTTCCTTCACCGTAAGAACGTCGGATAAATGTACATATGTAAATCGGAAATCGAAAAACACATTGGTACTTGGCGGGATTCGAACCCAGGACCTGCAGATTGCAAGTAAAGTGCCCCTATGCCACCGACGCTCCTGATCACTGAGCCACCGAAGCTACACTTCTTATCTTACTTCTTACTAATTATTACTGTTGCCGACAGATACGGAACGTTTTTTTATGTTTTTTACTCATAATTTTTATATTTTTGCATTTCGAACACAATGTATTTTTTCTTCCTTTTTTGTCGCTATTTAAATATCAGTTGTAAATATATCTTCTAACAGTGCGTGATGATCTCATTTCATCATTCTATTTTATATTTTCATTTTCCCTTTTTATTATATAATAATATTCCAAAGTTTATCTAAATCCAAGCGTTCTTTTCATCCTCATTATTTTCCGTCGTCTTTAATTACTAACATTATAAATGCGAATATTTAGATTTAGATTAGATGGATGGATGGATGGATGTTTGTTTGAAAGTATCTCCAGAACGGCTGAACAGATCTGGATGAAATTTGGCACAGATGTAGAACATAGTCTGGAAGAACACATTGACCACTATTTTTTTTTTGATTCCGCGCGGACGGAATCGCAGGCAAAAGCTAGTTTCATGGTATTCTTACTAATTACTATGTATATTTAAGTGTAGTAATGCAATCTAAAGCATTCTTTGAAATTAATTATTCGGCCTTACATCTTAAAAACAACAAAAATTATCAAGTTGCCCGCATTGCCGTTAATCGAGGATGATCTTGACACGAATGAATACCGACACCTTATCTTCTGCCTTCAATAAAGTCTTCATATCAAATTGGATTTGAAAGCAATGTCCTTCAAATTAACAACCAAAGACAGAATTAAAAAGAAATAATTTGAAGTTAAACTGACTGACAGATAATTAGTCAAATCACAGTCTAGAGACATCAAATGACAATGACAACAGAATTAAATATAAAAAATGACAATTCGTTAAAAAAAAATGTTGATTCTTAAATTTAAATTATTTCACATTTTGCACATTTTTTGTAGCAAGGTTATTTTATCTTTGCATAATGAGTTCATAAGCTAGAAGACTTCATTTCAAAACACATTACATACTATTGTCTAAGGTTAATGACCTTGTAGGCACAATTATAATTAGTGTCATGCAAGTGGAACAAATAAAAATTAATGTTTGTAGAGTTTCTAAACAATTGTACAGATTTTCATGAAACTTTAATATGTTGCTTTGGATGTTCAGAAAACGCTAGTGAGAGTTTGTGCCTTAAGATATTAAAAAAAAATTAAACATGTTTGTTTACGTTTTTTTATAAGCCTTTTTTTCCAGAGAGGAATGCTTTATGGATACTCCGCGGTAGTTATGTGGGATTATCCTCCATAACGGAGGCATACCCACTGAACCTCTCTGTTCCTTCAACGCATCGGGACGGGACAACGGGCACGCTTTCGCTCTCGTCCGCGGCCATTACGTTATGCCTAGCGTAAACATCCCTAGGTATTTAATCAGTCATAGTCTATCTTATAATAACTTTGTTGCATCAATAAATTCATGATAATCCTTATAATTACTTATCCTTACTCATATTATAAATGTGAAATTAACTCTATATATAGTATTTTGGCGCGAAATCACGATAGACAGCTGTCTAAAAACTGGATAAATACTGAACTGATTGAAACGAAATTTGGTACACCGCTAGTCTAGAGCCTGAGAAAGAACATAGACTTCTTTTTAAGACGCAAAATAGTTGTTAAGGAGTTTAAAGAGGGGATGAAAAATTGTATGCAAGTATCTTTATTTTACGATGTTTGATACTTTGTTTTGGGTTGTTCATATAAATATAATGTAAATCGACTAAAAGATTATGGCAAAATCTTACGAGGCCTCCAAAAATTTGGGCACACTTTGAATTAGTAATAAATTGTTGCGTGCTTACCGTATTGTTAACTGACATTGATTAGTCACCTTGTTATCAAAATTAATTAAACTTTTTACGAAATAATGGATATTTTTACAATTGTTATTGGGTTAAGGTCCTGTTTCGGAGCAAATGGCAAAAAACCTATAAGATTTTTTCGCAAATGACTAATTAAACCCTTAGGTTTTTTATAAATCTGTAATTAGGAACGTTCTTTGTGACCATTAAAAATGCTAAAGAAACGATTAAGTAACTGAAATTATTTAGCACCTTGTACTGTAATTAAAAAGTTAATCTGTCAAATATCACTTTTTTAGTGCAACATTTTTTTACCTGTACTTATTTAACCTCGGTTTATAACGACAGCAATATGTTTGATTATGCAGGTCCCGACACAGAAGACGATTGCGGAAACAAGATTAACATACAATTACATCCAATGTAAGGGATATGTATTCCCGCAGCATTTCGTTTTAAAACCGTTGCGTTGCTTTTATTTGTCTGCATCAGTCAAATGCCAGTGCCCGGAACGCACGAATGTGAGCCAAAAAAAGAATAAGTGCCATAGATAAGAAAGTGTATTATGAAAAAAATGTGCGAAGTACAGATAAAAAAAATATGGATTGTTTTCTTGCTGTTAGGTAAGTTATAGACAATTTAGGAATTAAACAATTATAATATAATTTTAAAGTGTGTTGTTTAAAAAAATATGGCAATTTTAATAACAAGTTTGTTTTACTTAAGAATTGTGTCGTAATTTCCTATCTGAAAATTATCTTTTGGGTACCAAGTTGATTGGGAATTAAATTATTTTTATTTGATTAATTAAATATCATATAATCTATTTTATCGTACATTTAACCGAGTCGCGACTTTCACATAACTCCGGGCTACTATTAATTCTTTCGCAAATATGATATTTATATTACAACAATAAAAACTAATAATTATTTACAACATGGAACAAAATAATATTATAAAAGGTATATGATTTGCCTTAATTGTAAACATGATTAACGTGATGGTTTAATGCGGTAGGCTTACGATCTGACGTTCATAGTTTCGACTTCATAAATTTTATTGAAATATTGACGTCATTAAAAAAATTTAAACTAGAAACATTTTGGATGTTTATTACAGGTATTCTTTCAAGAACAGAAGCAGCGTGGTTGCGGTGTTACAAAGAGTAAGTTGTGTTCAAAATTTTAAATATTATAATTACAAAGTAAATTTTAATTAAAATAGTCTATACGGATGGTATGGTCTTCTTCTGAATGGTTTATTAAAGATATAACAAATAGAGTAACATGGAAGTGAGCTGAAACCACAAACATTTTGAGAACGGTCATAGTGTTCCCAAGCTTATTACTACAAAAAACACATTAATTCTTATCTAAACACATTGTAATAAAATGCGTATTCCTAAAAGCGGGTTATCGTAAAACATATCGTTTCCCATTAATTCCACTCAGCCTATTTACAATTCATATTTTTTTTTAAATAAATCAATGAAATAATGGTTAATTAGTTTTATCTTCTAACTGGTTAATCTCTTTCCTTTTGTTTGTTAAATTTTTCGCGCCAATATATATTTTTTTATACGTACGTTTGGATTTAAGTAATTCTGTAACCTCCTGGAAGGTAAACGACTAATTTTTTTTTTTATAATTACTTTTTTGGATAAAAAGATTTGCAAAGTAAGTAAGAGATAAATTAATAAGGACGAATTCTTATAAGTATTTGGACTAGTGTACTAGGATATAATAAATAATTAAAATTAATAAACAACACACGTGTAACCTTCACAAGGTGTCGGTAAGTGGAGTACCAGGGCGGCATAGTTACGTAAGGAGTGAATCGTCGCACATAATCGTTACGCCGCTTTCTTCTGACGATCACCTCGCTGTAACCTGTTCTTTGTTTTGTGCGCAAAATCCAGTTTACAAATGATCTAACAAGTTCATCGCGTAATAGGTGCTTAGTATCGCAATTATTATAATTTTATAACGTCTAAGATTCTCTAGTATGCTTATTTTGTGGTAGTTTTTAAGACAGAAGACACAACACGAGACTTGAGTCTAATGACGTCATGATGTTATCCCTATTGGTTAGAGTGTGGGGATTTCTTTTCCTTACTTCCTTATTCATTTTTTTATTAAAAAGGCTTTGCCGCAACCGCACTACCTGATTATTTTAATTTAATCATGATTGACTTTTGTCTTCGTGTTTTTAACAAAATTCACAAACCAATAATTCCATAATTTACGTAGTCGGCAAAATAAAAAGAAGTAAGTAATATTTTATTTGGTAACGTCTTACTAATATTATAAAAGCGAATGTTTGGGTGAATGGATGATGATGAAATTTGATACAGATGTAGAACATAGTCTGGAAGAAAACATAGGCTTCTAATTACATATTTTTACGACTACGTATGCGCAGAATTAAAAAAAAAGTATCATGTCTAATAGAGAGTGATTTATATGTGACGTTTCTTATTACCAGGTCACTTACAGAATATCTGGTTACTCCGTTAGATAATCCTTTACCAATAGCCCAATCCTCATGCCTGGACCGAACTCGACCAACCGTCGTCTACACCTTTGGGTACAATGGCAGGGTTAACGGCCCAGCCACTACAGCAGTCCTAACAGCTTACATAGCGAAGAGGAAGAGAAATGTTATTCTTCTGGACTGGGAAGAAGAAGCTAAGAGTGGTCTACTGGGCTTGGAACTTGGATATGCAGTGTCAGCTGCTCCCAACGCTAAAAAGGTATCATGTTTTTTTAATATATTTTTCTTAATATAGATAGCTTAGTATTCGAAAAGAGTAGTAAATATCACCAGCAGTACTTAGTGCATGGTTCAACTCATATAGCACCATATACTCACAGAACACTTAAATGTAGAGGTAACAAATACAAATGTATTCCACTCATATGAATATTTATTGGTCTCCAATAAATTACTGGCTATTTATAAAATAATCTTTAGTCAGTTGTAAACAAAGAAATGACGAAAGGAGTAGATGCTTTGTTTGTCACAAAATCCAACCATAAAAAGATAAATTCATGGTCAATCAGATAAAATCCAGCATAAAGATAGTCTGTAGCAACTTTCAGTTTAATCTTTTAATGATATTTACTCACATTCACTTGAATATCCGCAATACAATACAATAAATACGAAAAGTTTTCGTTCAAGGTCAAAAAGATAAATCTGTAAATGTATTTAAAACTGATGTAATGAGTCATAAATAAAAATACGTGTAGGTACTTATGATCAAAAATAAACTTCCTATTAAAAACTTTATTTTTTAAGTGTTATTTTATATCTAAAGACGTGTTTTGACTATTTTTCTTCCTTTCCTTATTATCACATTCCAAGCCTATATTCCTAAGTAAGGCTTAAAATAAGTACAGTATAAATTATTACCATTTCACAGATTGGATACGGTCTCGGTAAAGCACTACTTACACTGTCAGACGCTGGAATCAATTTGAATAGTATCCATTTAATGGGTCATTCCCTCGGGGCCCATCTGATGGGATACGCCGGTACGTGGTTGAGAGAGAGGGGGAGAGTTGTTAGCAGGTATTTTTTTTTATTTTACTCAAAACTTGCACTTAACAACAAGTATCCAACATTTTTATCGAAATTTTCAGAATAACGGGTCTCGACCCCGCCCGTGCGTTGTTCGAGGGCAAGTTCGCTTTCTTCAAGCAGTTGGACCGTACTTGTGCATTATTTGTTGACATTATACACACGGACCCTGGTAACTACGGCAGTAATAAGTCAACCGGCTCTGTAGACATATGGCCTAATTACTATGGCCCCAAATCAAAGCAGCCAGGCTGTCCAAGAACACCTCAAGTAACGTTTAGCCGTGCAGGTAAAGTATCACGACTTTTCCATGAATAATATTAAAATTCAAATATGTTTAATCTTTTTGTATCAGAATCTACTTTTTCAACTAAGTGCATGTTATTTACGGTTTAATTTATAGTCCCATACTGTATTTTTCTCGTATATTATGTGTCAGCAGATCTTTTATAAACGTTTTAACATCGACGTTGTGTAGGAACATAAGATTAAACAGTTTTTTTATTTTATCTTTTGCCTTTCAATTGTTTTCAGATCTTTGTGACCACGACCGTTCCTGGCAGTACTTTATAGAGGCCATGCTGTCAGGTACCAACATCTCCGCTATATACGCCGATAATTATCGTGACTGGATGAAGGATTATTCTCGAAGCAATTTCACTATATACATGGGTGATCTGATTAACACCAGGTTTGTAGAAATTGTTTTAAGTATTAAATTGGAACACTCTGTATAACCTTTAAACATATAAAATGTGCATTTTCCAGAGCACGCGGCAACTTTTTCTGTTCAACAAACTCTCATCCACCTTTTGGTAAAGGTAGCGAAGGATTGAAGCCAGACTATGTTATTATTAGCTAGGAGTAATGAACTACTGAGTTTATGTTGTGTAATTAGTTCTCTAGATAATTAAAGAATAATTATCAAAGATTTCTTTAAAGTGTAACGAGTGCTGGTACATATTTTAGAAATATTATAGCTAAAATAAATAGAAGTAGGTTCAACCTTTTCTAAAAAAATACCAAATAGTTAAACATAATGCGCAATCCGACTCGAAGGACCAACATTAAAATCATGTAAAATATAATATCATGAGTACTATATGACTTTAAATATGAATGCCAAAGTTGTAATCATATACTACAATAATCTTTTTATAAAGTTGCGCAAGAGCATTGTCGAATTTGACGATACGAAGTTTGAATTTAAATATTTCATTAGTACGGGTATAAATGTTTTCAAATGTCTTGGCGGCTCTTAACTTTCGGATTCGCTGCTTAGAACACTATTTAGGTGAAGAAAGATTCGGGGGTAGGGTTCTGCGCAGCGCGCTATGACCTTGGCCAGCCAGGATATTTGGAAAGAGAAAGAATAATTTTATTGTAAAGAAACGATATATGTTATGTAAGTATAATTAAAATGTGAAGCTTGTTTAAGAAATGTAAATTTTCATTTCATTAAATGATTTTTTAATTCATTTTTCTACAATTCTTTGACGAGAATTCATCTTAGTTTTTATTTAAGAAAAGTTCAGTATCCTAAAGATTGTAATAAAGAGCATTAGGTTAGTCCTGATTGGGGAAAGAAATACACAAAAACATGGAAGAATACATTTAATATAATTACAAGTTATGTACAAATATTTACATTTTAACTTAAAATAAATAATATTAAACTAACATCACAATTTTATTATACGACTATGTAATATCTATTATGAAAAAAAAATGGCAAGACGAGTTGCTTTTATTAAATTAATTTATGATCTGCAATAATTTAATTATTTAATATGTATTTTTATTCGATTTAATTAATACCAAAATGGTATTTTTTTGTAGTGGTAGCCCCAAGGCGATGTGTTGCCTATCACATGGCAACACATCGCCTACATAAATCTATGCTACGCGGGCGATGTGCTATAAAACCTCTTAATGGTGGAGTCAATGTCAACCATCGCGTTCCTCACGTCGTGTGTGGACGCGCCGATAGCTTCGAAACACGTCGCCAGTCTCTCTACAGCTCGTGCCTTGAATTCAAACATTATTTTGCTAATATTATATGACAATTTTTAGATGTATGGGTGAATGGATGTTTGTTAGAAGGTATCCCCGGAATGGCTCAATGGATTTTGATGAAATTTGGCACAGATGTCCAAAATGGTCTGGAAAAACGCATAGGCTATGCGTTCTTCCAGACCATTTTGACCCTTAAATCTTTTTATCAAAAAGGAAACTAAATCGAGATTAGTATTTTACAATATCAATTATTACAGTCAGTCTACCTGTACCTTTTGTTTAAAACTGTCAAGTATTGTTACCTGTATTTGTGATGCTTCAGCCAATCTCTCCATAGCTTGTGCATTGACGTGCGACGCGTGCGCCAACTGGGATAACGCGTTCGCTTGGTCTCCCATTATTTTAACCTGAAATTGTAGAGTTACGACATTCAAAAATTTATCCAGCGAGATGTTAATGACAATCATGTGAAAAGCGTGTCAAAATTATATCTTCCATCTCTTTCATGTAACGTAATGTACCCAAACATGATTGGTCCCAAGGATATCTTAAGGGAAAGGGGGGCGCCCTGGGCGGTCGCCTCACCTAGCCCTACCCTAACGCCGCTACTAAATTTTACTTTACACTTGCAACTATTAAATTGATACGTAATTACTATGAAATACTACTTCAACGAGTTTGAGTCTATATTTCGCCTATTTTAAGTCAATTGGCCAACTATTCTTTTAGTAATGCAATCAATTACTATATCATGTGTAAAAGTAATAATAAAAGTATACCAGTTTCTCCATGACAAGCATTTGTCGTTCTTCTAAATCCACCATGGGTTCCTCGAAGGTCAACACAGGTTCACTTTCTATTTGATGCTCCCCACTGTCTTCATTGTAGAATGCCTCATCCATGTAGTGAGACTCTTGTTTTACAGAACTTCGATCTTCTGTAAAATATTTTTTTTTAAAGTAACACCTTGCATTATGTAGAATTTTTTTTTCCTTACAGTTGACTTAGAAAAGAAAGCAAATTTAATGATTTATTAAAATTTCGATATAGCTTGAAGGACCTATCTGTTACGCAAAAAATCTTCAGAGAAAACGAAAACTTTTAGTTGGATATATTAATAAGTGAATAAGCTTTGGTTTGGTGCTTTGCTGGTAATCTAGCATCAATACAACCGACGCGCGGTCCCCTTGAAACACCCATGGTGGTAATGAATGGGACTGGAACATATAAATATTGGAAACTTACTTGATGAATCATTAGCCAAGAACAGATCCCATATTTTCTTTTCTATATTAGAACTTAAGGTGTTAGGGTCGCCATTACTGGATTGAACCTTAGACCGTATTGTTGATTTCTTATCTGCCCAATACTGAAAAAATTAAACAAAGATTTAGAATAGCAAGTTTGAAAATGGTTATTGCATGAAGTGTTTTTTTATAGAGTCAATTAAAAATATCAACTCACTTTAACCCAAGATTTCATTGGTCTATTAGGTCCACCAAGGCTGTTAACAATCTTTGTTAATTTGAACCAAAGCTTTTTGCATTCATCTCTCTTCTCAAGCCCTCTCATTTGGCCCAACCCTAAAGCAGGATGTTTCTCCATGAAGTCCACTATTGCTATTACTTGCTCAAGACTGGGCCTTGACTGAAAAAAAATTACAAAATTTGAGACTTTCTTTAATCAAAATCATAAATATTTTTAACATCTAAATGAAATACTGAAGTTTTACCATATAATAAAATTACATCATTAAGTGAATTAAAATTTCAAAGAGGTAAATTATCACTATTATTTCTATAAACTACTGCTTATCCTCGCTGGAAATTAAAAAAAAGTCTGCAATTGAAAGTATGTAATATTTTTAACACAATAATTACTATATGTCTATCTCCAATAGTAGTGGATTTATTCCTACCCATCTTAATAACATTCTTCGAGATGAGAACTTGAAGTAAATTTCACTCGAATTAAAATATTAATGTTTTGTTTTAGCTTATAAAGCGTCACTCACCGCGATGGACCGATCCGTCATTTTCTTAATTTATTTCAATGGCGTATGTTAAAAATAACAGATTTATTTACATCTGTTTTATATATAAAGTTTTTGAAATGTTTAAATTCACTCCATTTCGAATCGAATTCACGTACTTTGTTACTATTTTCATAACAAAATTTCGCTCGATAGCAATAGTTTACGACAACCATTGGTTGGGGTAAAGCTAACACAGATAAACCATAATAAAAAAGTAAAAAACCAATAATAGTGTTATTTATTTTCATTATCTTGTATTAGATTTTAGAAAAGTTAAATCATTTTGTACTTTCACAAAAATAATTATTTGTCAATTACAGTTATTTCAGTAGTCAACAGTTGAATATGGCCTTTTGTGGCTTTATGACACTGAAAGTCTAACCAAGCGTTGTTGTTTAATTTAAAAAAAAGGCTGTCACACCGTCATGTCAATGAAGTTTGTCAGTCAGTTGTCAAATGTAATAAGGGATACGGAGTTTTTAATTTATTGATGTTTGTATCGTATTTGTATAATTAGCAACATACATATAGAAAACACTTCATCATCATACATCGTATCAAAAAGTAGTAGTGGGCACAAAATTACTTCTACCTAAAATATTTTATCAGTGTATTTCAAACAATACGAATATGCATTAATTATAGTACAAATTATATTAAAAAATAAAAATGGCTAATTCTGTAAACATATCCATTGAGGCACCTATTGAGAATCAAATACAAGAAATAACTTACGATGGCCAAGAAATATATCAGGCGTAAGTATATCTACAAATTTAAATATAAAATATATATTAATATATCGTTATTTCCTTTTATAAACAAATGATGTTGACATTTTTCAGACCACTGTCTATGTCAGAAAACCTAGCTAGGTTAGCACAGAAGATTGATTTTTCGAAAACAGAAGATGAGTTTTGTAATATTAAAAAAGAAGGTGAGAGTAGTTTAGAGTCAAAATCCGAGGATGATAATAAGGAACCGGGATATCAATCGAGCTTGTGGCCATGGGATTCCGTGAGAAACAAATTGAAGAATGCACTCACTGAAGTCAGTGTGCTTGCTGATGTGTTGAGTATTGCTAAAGAGAAGAGATACATGGTAAGCTTATTGTAAAAGATAATAACTAAGTAATAAGTTAGTGCCACTTGAAGTGTTTTACTGAAGGAACTATATTACAATTGAAATTGAATTTATGCATAGCTTTTTTGGGCAACTTTATTTTAAAAAACTATATTTCAGGTCTTAGATCCAATACAAGCAGAGCCAGTTGACAGTCGTCCCATGGTTCAAGTCTATGGTCGGAAGAAGGCACTGAGTGCTGCAGGAGCTGTTCTCCTTGCTGGAGTAGAAAGACTTCGTGCCAGCGAGACTATGAGGATGACTCGGAATATGCCTGACTTCCATATTGATTTGTTACGTCTCAGACAGAATTGGAGACTGAAGAAAGTATCAAATACCATAGTGGGAGATTTAAGTTATAGAACTGCAGGCTCTAAATTTAGTCAGACTGGGGTTTTTGAAGTAAGTTCTTCGACCTTATTATTATATATCTTACTAATATTATAAATGGATGTTTGAAGTATGTTGAAGGTTGTTTGATGACGGCTGAACGAATCTTGATGAAATTTTGTTGACATATAGAACATAGTCTGGAAGAACATATAGGCTACTTGTTAAGGATTTTTTTTTAATTTTGTGCCAACGGAGTCGCAGGCGGCTGCTAGTTTATATATAAACGCTTTACAAGAATTACAATTGTTAAAAATTTTAAATTTTCTTGGCATACCAAAAAATATTTAGTCAAACAATAACTGCATTTGTTGATATTTTGACCTTTTCTTTTGCATATTAAGTAGTCTACCCAGTGGCTACAAGCGATTGGCTTTATTGGTATTTGAAATTTTAAAATTATTATTAAAAATGTGTGTACCACATCCCAGGTTACAAAAGCTCCCGAGGAACAGATTGCTCAAGCTATGAGTATGAATGCATCCGGTCCTGCACCTTCTGCACTTAGAGTGACCGTCCCTCCAGAGTTACAAGGAGTAGCTTTTATCTCAGTACTTTGTCAGAAAGGTAATTTTTATACAAATTAATATATTAAAATGGATTTTTAGTGCGTAAATTTTGTTTAATGTTTTCCTCCATACTAAGATTTATGTTACCATTCTCATGGATTTATTTTTAAAATTTTGGTAGGGCTTATTTCACAATTTTATAAGAAAAAATATTCTTGCATTTAAGTTAAGATAAAGCAGACATAGAATGGGATTTTTCATCTTCAGCCAGTGTCAGTAATAATGAACATTTTATTACTATTGAATAATTCTTATATGTTTCTTTTTTACTAATGTTTCACATGCGAATGTTTTGATAGATAGATGGATGATTATTAGATAATAACTATGGCTTAATGGGTAATGATAAAATTTGACACATATGTAGAACATAGTCTGGAACAACTAATCGGCCACTTATTCATTTTTTTAACACCGCGCGGTCGGAGTCGCGGGTGACAGCTAGTCCTACATATATTAAAATACAATCTATTTTAGAGCAAGAAGATGTAGTGACAGCTACACTCAGTTCATCCGCATTAAACTGTCCGAGCACCCTCCTTGGAGATGGAGCAGACTTGCACTGGCAGCAGAAGTTGGAGGCAGCACAAAATGTTCTATTCTGCAAAGAACTGTTTGCTAGACTAGCCGCTGAGGCGGTACAGTTGGATGCATCAATACCACACATGGTTGTTGGCAATCAGATTATGGCTACGGTATGTTTAACATTTTATTTATTGTATCGTTTTAGCAATGAAATACAGTTTGTAAATCAATTAAATTATGCTATTTTTAGGTTCTTCCCGGAATACAATTGTTGATTGGTCTCTGTCACAATAATGGTCAAAATAACAATCACAACCCTGAAGGAATAAAGGTAAGTAATTGCATCTTTATGAGAGTTTCTCATTTTTGCCCGAATTATTATACTTGCTTCAAAGACCAAAGGGAAATGCTTTTCATCAGTATGATGTGTCAATTGTTTAGTATTGGACAGAGAACATACTAACATTTTAAAAATGTAGCCTATAATATGCTCTCATGCATCTGCTACCTTCTGAACAAACAGACATACAGACAAAAAAAAAATACGTTTTCGTTATCAGCAACGGAAAAAACATCGCATGTACGGAATATTTTTTTTCTATTATTACATACAGATATTCCAATACTATTATGTACAGATGATTGCTATATTGTTGTTAAGTAAAAGTTGTGTGTTCAGAGTGAAGGTTCCAGCGGCAAGTCTGAGCATGATCATGTGCTGGAGCACTCGCTGCACCAACTGCTGCGCGCTGTTCATCACAACAACACGCATCACCCCTTCCCGCATCCCGCCACTGGACCACTGGGGCCTTCCAAGAGACGATCTCTGGCAGGTAAAGACTTTAGGCTACACAAACTACACTCCAATCTTACTAATATCATAAATGGAGTGTTTGGTGGTATGGATGGATGTTTGTTAAAATGTATCTTCAGAACAGATGCACGGATCTTGCTGAAATTTGACATAAATGTAGAACAGCCTGGAAGAACTATTGATTGTTTGTTTTTAATTGCGCGCGGACGGAGTCACGGGAGATAGCTAGTTGTTGATAAGGAATGGTATTTTTTGTAACTCTACTTAGCTAGTTTAGAGTTTGGTTCAGATTTGCATCATACACAATTTTTTTTATGTAGACATTTTTGTCTAGGACCAATGGCTGCGGACAGATATGAACTGTTGGACATGAGCAAGGAACAGTCCCTACTGGAGCAGATAATACAGCAAGCGCAGCATTTCTTCATGCGCAGGCGCAGTGAATACGTCCTGGATACTATTGCTAAAGAGGTTTGTACTGTTTTAATCATATTTTATAATAGTATATTCTACTATATTAAATGTAGTCTGTATATATATTTTATTGGAAATTCTTAATAAATTATTGAATCTAACAATGTTTCTCTTTCTCAGGTGAAGGATCCCTTGATCGTATCACATTGGAATGCACTGAACAGCCCAACGCAGTCTTGTGTCAAAATTAACATCATGGCTTTTGGGTAAGTAATAGATCATTAGTTTAGCTAGTAGTCCTGATTAGTTCTGGTTTTCTAAAGTAAGATTATATTTTATAGTTACGATGCGGTGTTTCGCACGTCTCTTGTGGTACACGTGGGCGAGAAGACGCTGAAATGTATTTGCCGCGATGGACGTGTCCGACATCTCTCCTACGAGCTGCAGGAGCTACGGGACCTTATATATTGCCAAGTATACTTTTGCATGTCACGTTGTCGCCTTATAAAAGCCTGCTGTACATAAGATCCTAAAGTCAATCTAAGATTTAGTGACGCCTGATCAAATTTCATAGCAGTTTCAATCTTTTAAGGATCACTTTTGGCAAGATTAAAAGTAAAAACCACGTAACGCATCAGACCATGACTAGCGTAATCAAATTTCTTTGGTATTTGTCAGTGATGATTTACAATTTCCCTATTTCTGAATTACCACTTTACAGATTAAAAAAAACTACCATTCAGTAAATATTAGTAGAGAAACACTATTATTAAAATTCCAAGTCCTTATTGTTTATTTATGGTGCCATAGATCTACCAGCATCAGATGACGGCGGTGCAGGCGGTGGGCCGCTGCATGGGCTGGCAGTTGCTGGCCTCCAGCGCACACCTCGGCTCCGGGCCCGTCGAGCCTCTCAGCAATGCTTCATCCTGTCTGCTCGCTTCACCAAACGGTATGTACACTGTTAAACCAATTTTCCACCAGGACTACCAAGTTTTATTAAGTTAGCTGTCGCCCGCGACTCCTTTGCGGAATAAGCAAAAACTCAATGAGTAGCCTATGTGTTGTTTCAGACTATTTTCTACATCTGTGCCAAATTTCACCAAGATCCATTCAGCGGTTCCAAAGAAATCTTCAAACATCCATCCATCGCATTATATTAGTAAAGTTGCACTTCAGCCGCTCACAGTATCAATATATGTAATTATTTTGTTACAGGAGATAGAATGATCGCAATAAGATGTGAGCCATCAGTTGGAATCCAAGTGTTTATAGCACAATCGCCTAGAAAAGATTTCTTTGCAAGTGAATTGGTGCAAGACAAGAAATGGGAGAACCTCGGTGGCG